CAGTCCCTTTAACATTTTTTACAATGCTGGCAATAAACTCCTTTAGCCTTTTTTTGTCTGCAAAGCTCTTTATTCACCATCTATTTTGAATGATAGCCTTGCTGGATATAGTAATCTTGGTTTCAGATCCTTGCTTTTCATTACCTTGAGTACTTCATTCCAATCCCATCTGGCCTGTAGAGTTTTGGATGAGAAATCAGCTGATAACTTTATGGTAGCTCCTTTGTAGATAACAGATTGCTTTTCTCTTGCTGCCATTAAGATTCTCTCTTTGTCTTTAATTTTTGGCATTTTAATTATGATGTGTCTGGGCGTTGGTCTGTATGGGTTGTTCTTGCTTGGGACTCTCTGTGCCTTCTGAACTTGTATGACTTTTTCCTTTACCAGTTAGGGAAGTTTTCTGCCATTATTTCCTCAAACACATTCTCTATCCCTTGCTCACTTTCTTCCCCTTCTGGCACACCGATTATGCAAAGATTGTTACATTTCATGTTGTCCCACAGCTCCCTTAAACTGTCCTGTTTTTTCATTGTGTTTTTCTTTTTGGTTCTCATATTTACTATATCTTTTTTCTTATGCTGTTGAGTATCTTTACCATCATTATTCTGAACTCTATATCAGATAAGTTTCTTATCTTCATTTATTTCCTGGAGCATTCTCTTGTTCTTTCTTTTTTTTTATTGTCTCCCCATTTTGGTTGCCTGTTTGGGTTTGTGACTATGTATCAGGTAGGTCTGCTATGCCTCCAAATCTCTAGTGCAGGACAGTCAAATACTGGTTTTGACTAATTAGATCAGGCAAAGACTCAAATCCTCCAGAGACTCACCTCTGCCTACAGATTGATTGGATTCATTTTTTAAAAAAATATATTTTATTGATTTGCAGGCCTACACTCTATCCACTGAGCCAAACCGGTTAGGGCTGCATTCATTTGGAGTAGCCCTCAGGCAATTTGTCCACAGGTGTGGTGAGAGGTTTCCGATAGGGTGGGGCAGTTGCTTCTGCCTGGAGGCTAGTTGTTATTCTCAGAAATGGGTCTCTTAATGGGTCTCAGAAATGCCACATGGTGGGGCAAGGGGTTTTCCAATAGGGTGGGTCAACTGTCTTCCCCCCAGGCAAAAACCACCTGGATAACAAAATTCTGCCTGAGAAAGATGATCTCTGCAATGTGAAGAATGACTCAACACAGAAAACCAGGTTGTCTGCCCTCTGAGCTTTAACCCTAGAGCCCCCAACCCTGGCTTCTGCTCACACAGCTCCAGACCACTCTGCCCTCCCTCTCCTGGAGCCCAAGGTGAGTGTCTGCACACGAAATTTTGTGTATTGGCCCTTTAAGAGAGTGCCTGCATTTCTAGGCATCTCTCCCTGGAAGATAGCAACCCTGTTGCTGTTCACAGCCAGATGTTTTGTGGGCACCTTTCTCAGTTCTGGTGCTTTCTGCTGGGGGCCCAATTGGGGATTAGACCCCAGAGTTCTCAGTGGCAACCCACACAGCTGAGATATCTCTCCAGAACTTCAGCTGTCTGTGGTCCCCCGCTCTTTTGTGCCTCTGCCCTTCCTACCAGTATCTATGTGGTCCCCACTTTCTGTCTTTGGTTATCAGGGTTCTCTTCAGCTAGTCTTCAGTTGATTATTTATGATTTTTTTTGGTATTTTAGTTGTAATTCCAGTTTGGTCCTGGGAGCGTGTCTGTGTAGCATCCACTTACCCTGCCAACCATTTTTAATTCCTTCAATTGGGTTTTCTTTTCAGACACCCAGAATTCAGTACTAGGGTGCTGTTCTCATAATATCCACCAAAAGGCCCTATTGCCACAACTCCCTGCAAGGGCAAGAGCTCTCTGTCTGTCCATTGAGTTTTGTCTTGGCTGAGCTAGAGACCAGAGGCGCCCCCCCCCCCACCCGCTGCCCCCCAAGTCCAGTCCTTTCAACTCCTCCTTTCTGCTCTTGGTGTTGGCCCCTGGGGCTTTCAGAAAATCCCAGTACACTCTTGGGTGCCTAGCCTCCCCAGCCTGGCCCTCCCACGAAGGCCTGCCCCGCCCCCACAGCACCACTGTCCGGAGGGCTGCCCAGGGGTTACTGGCGGCTGCACCTCCTGGTGCTCAAAGCAACCCCAGCCTGGCGATTCAATCTGAAGGGCGTCAGAATTGTTTCTGTGTGACTACAGTGCCTGCTGGACTCATGCATGCTGGCAGCCCTGGGCAAATGCTTCCCGCCCTGCATGAAGGCTCCTGGGGTCTGCTTTGCCCCTTGGGATCCACTCCCATCAGGAAGCTGCTCCATGGTCAGCAGCCGGCACCCCGAGAGTCGGTAACCCTGTGCCCTGTGAGAGTGTAACCACCAAATTCCTTCAGCCTGTTTTCTAAGCTGAGGTTAACAAGACACTATGTAGTCCAGCCTTTGCAATGGAGCCTGGTGCCCTCTGCGTCTCCAAAGCACCTCTGGCCACCCACCCCCTCAGAGGCAAGCCCAGTTGCCAGTAGGCTCCCCACTGAGCCAGAGAAGCCAGGCACCCTTGGGCTGTCCCCTGCAGCAGGGGTTGCAGAAGATGAGGGCAGGACTCAAGGGCTGATTCTGCCCCCAGGGCACCTGTGGCAAGTCTGGGAACGGGTTTGATTGCCAGCCAGGAGTGGGTGACCAGGGCAGTGCTGACATGGTACAAAGGACAGGATGCCCCCACCAGAGAGCCACCGTAGTCTGTGCTACACCCGGCCCAGGGGACATGGCCGGTGCTGAGACGTTACCCAGCTAACCCCATGGCCGTGCTGTGCCCGACACCCACATATGGGGCAGTGTGCTTGTCGGGGATCTCCAAGGGCGACTGCTGTCTGCTCGGACGCCCTATCCAGGGTGCTGTCCCCATCTCATGGCTGTGCAGTGGGTCCCTAAGTGCTGCCCTGGCGATGGGGCTGGGCCTGCCCCTCCTGGTGCAGTAGCAGAGGGGTGGATGGCTGAAATGTGATCCAAGTACCTGCATCCCTGGCTGGCGGGCGCTGAGGGTGTGGCTGGGATTGCCTCCCTTCGCTTCCGGGGTTGGGCTACAGAACCCCATCTGCTTCTTCCCAAAAAAAGGATTGAAAAGGTTATCCTCCAGGAGAAGCCCAAGTGCCGGGTGATACCTGAGGTCTGGGTGGCCGTGGTCAAGCAGGGGGTGGTGCTCTTTGTCCGCTTTGGGTGAGGCTTCCCTGTGCCCCGGGCCTCTCCTCCCACCCACCCAAGCGGGTTGCCCAGCTCAGACTGGGGCACCCCCACCCCCCCGTATAGGGTCTGTCCTCTTCCGCTGAGGCAGAGGCCGTACCACCCACCCCTGCAGAGCCCTGGGCAGCACACGTGGGGGACACGAGCTGGTGAACCCAGACCACCCGTGTCCCCACCCCGCCCGCCTGGACCGAGACTGGTGTCAGTGTCTTTACTGAAGGAATTTATTGTTCCGGAACTAAGGTTGCTCACAGTTATTTGACAGGGGTACATGGGGTGGGCTTGTTTGTTTCCGTGACGTCTGCGTGTGTCCCAAGTACAAAAGAGGAAGGCTGACGAAGAGATATTGCTTTCGGTGTCCTCTGCCTCTTGAGAAGCCCCCGCTTGTACCTGTGGCTTTGCTGTTATCGGGCGTGTAATAGTTCTTATGTGGAAGCCCCAGCCTGTGGTGGGGCCAGTGGACAGAAGCGTTAAAATCTATCCTCGACCGAGGTGGGCAGGCGGGCGGGCTGCGGGGAGACACCAGAAGCAAAGTGGACCCGTCACAGCGAAGGCATGCAATCAGACCTGCCCTCCCGGCCTCCGGCTGCCCGGTCCCTCGACACCGCGGGGTCTGTGCGCCGGGCTGGCCATACCCACAGGAAGAAACGCAAGCATTAGCTGGGGATGGAAAGCGGGCGGCCGCACCTGCACAGGAAACACTGCAGAGGACGCCGCTGACTCTGTCCTTGGTTATGTGGTGTTTTTTTTGTTTTTTTGTTTTTTTTCACTTTTTGTCATTTTAGTAAAAAACTCTGCGGTGCCCCTGCCATCCTGTGAGTGGGTGGGGGCCAGCCCAGGGCCTTCCTCCTACCCTGTTCTCGGACACAGAACCAAGAGGGTCCCCATCCTGGACCGGGTGGAGGGGCCCTGGGCAGTGGCGCCCATGGGACTGGAGTTGCTTCTACCCAGGACGGACAGAGCAGACAGAGTGGCCTGCGCCGTTCTTTAAATATATATATGTGTGTATATAGAAAGAACCAAGAGCAAGAACCGAACACAAAACCTAGCCCTGCCCAGCGGCTCCCCTCCCCCACACCCTTTTCCAAAAACAACCAAGAAAAAAAGTTTATAAAAATATCTTGCAGGAATTCTTTAAAGTTTACAGTAGCTTGCCGGCACTGCACCCAATGGCCTGCCCCCCAGTGCCCCATCGGCTGCGTCCTCAGGGCACCTGGGCCCAGACCCACCCTGCCCGAGACAGACAGACAGACAGACAGACGGCAGGAAGATGCTGCTGCTGCCCCTTCCCTGAACAGAGAAGTAAAGAAACTCAATAAGTTAAAACAGCAAATAAATAATACTGATCTTGGCCAGCCTGCTGCCTCTGGGTCCAGTTCCACCCGAGCCAGGACAGGAACGCAGGCCCGAGAGCACCTGCAGCGACGAGCCGGGGGGACTGGGTGCCAGCTAGCATCAGCGTGGGTGCCGAGGTGTCGATGGACTGGGGAGGGGGTGCTGCAGAAGGAAGGGGCCGAGGAGAGGCTGCAAGCGCCCTCTGCCCGCCTCTCAGATGCTTCGCCCACCATGGCCCTGCCCTGGAGGCAGCCTGGGCGACAGGACCTGTCGAGGGCTCTAGTCACTGCAAGTCTGTCAGCAGGCTGGAGGCAGCTTCCCCTCGGAGCCAGGTCCTCCTCCCCATGGCCATGCGGAGCAGAAACCGGGCAGAGTGCCACGCGGGCAGGTGGACGGAGACAGTGGCGGTGGGCAGGGCCTCGCCGCCGGGCACGCCGCAGCAGCAGGAGAGGAGTGGCAGGTCCACGGCAGCTGCCTTCAGCGGGCCGGTGTCCGGCGCGGAGCCCAGAGGACGGCCTCGTGGAGGTGACATGTTAACTTTTCGGGATAATTCCTGGTATCAGAGCGGAAACAGTGACGTTGTCAGAGACAGGCAGAGAGAGAAACAGCGAGAGAAAGAGAGAGCAGGCACGGGTGGACTGGCCACAGGCCCTGGCCCCCGGTGCCCCTATCCTTTCCTCCCCCGCTTCACACCAGTCTAGATGGGTAGGTGGATGTGGCCCTGGGTCCACTCAGGGCGGGCAGGTGGCTCGGTAGCCTTGGTGGCCACTGTCAGGGCCGTGCTGGGGGGGGAGGGGCTATGTGTCTAAGGCTGCTCGTGGCGGGCGGCGGGTGGCCCCGTCTTGGCTCACCGAGTGGACTGTGGGCACTCCGCTTGGCGGGCGTGCTGGGGGCCTGGGCCGCCTGCCCGTTCTTCTCGTCTGAAAAAAGTTGTTTAATTACGTCAAAGAAGTTACTCAATGGGCTGCCTGGGTACACAGAACAGAAGACAAAAGAAAATAAAAAATAAAAAAAAGGGGCGAGAAAGAGGAAGGGAGGGAAGGAGAGAGAAAGAGAACAAACAAACAAATGAACGAAAGGGCCTTGGCGAGAGAAAGAAAAACCCAAAGAGATGAGGTCTGAGATGGGCGTAGGGGGTGGGGACAGGTGACAGCAAGCAGGGTGGGCAGGCGGCCGGCCGGCGGGGTGCCCTCTGTGCCAGGGGCTCACAGGAGGGGTTGGGACTTTGGGGACACGAGCTGGGACCTTGAGGCCTCTGAACTGCGGGGCGGGAACCCAAGGCAGGTGGAGAGACCCCTCCTCCCTCACCAGGCCTGGCCTTGCAGGTGCAGCGCCTCCCCTGGCCTCAGCCAGACACGGAGCTCAGACACCAGTCTCAGAGTCTCCCCTTGTCAGCTCTGTGGCCTTGCTGGCCGGCCGGCCCACTCTGAACTCAGAGCCACAAAGACAGGGCTTCCACATCCCCAGGGAGCAGGAGCCTGGGACGGGCGTCTGGCTCTTGGCAGGAGGCCATGGGGTCTGCTCTGGGTTGGGAGGCTGGAGCCAGCGTGCCTGCCATACTCCTCCCCTGGCCAGCCCAGGCCACACAATGTGGAGACAGCGGACAGACAGATGGAAGGATGGATGGACAGGCATGGAGAGCTTGGGTGTGGGAGGGTGGGGGGCAGGCAGCCAGAGTGGGAATGTCCTGAGGTCAAGAGGAAGGGGTAGGATGGGATGACCACCCTGACCTGGGGCCTATGCTCCCTTTCCAGGTGCACTGATGGGGCACCTTTGCTCTAGTTCCTAAACCTGACCCCTGCCAGGTCCCTCCTCTCCCTGCCAGGTATAGTGGGAGGGGAGTGTTGTATGGCCTGGGTAGCTCACAGGTCCCAGCAGGAGCGGCCTCTGCTCCTGATTGCAGTCCACTGTGATCCCCGGTCAGAGCCTGCACATGTGACCCTCGCTGGTCTCATGGCATGCTCTGAACACGGGTCCCTCCCGGGCCCACCCTGATCCTGGCCAGGCCTGTGCTGCTTTTGGGTGAGTGACAGGGTGCTCCTGGCAGAGGCAAGAGGCTGGGCATTCAGGGGCCTACACCGAGTCCCGTGTGTGGCTGGGCCCCACACACAGCTACACACAGACCCCAGGACAGCCCCAGGGGTGGCAGGCGCAGCACCCAGCCGGGAGCGGGTTGCAGGTGGGGTGATAGGCGGGAGGCCCAGGCGATGGGGGTTCTTACCACACTTGGAAAGCCTCCCCGTCATCATCTCCACACAGTTAGTGGTGTCTGGAGCACAGAACGGAGAGAGGGGGATGTGAACACAGCTTCCCACCAGCCCCTCAGGGACAAGCAGAGGCTCAGGGCAGGGAGTGGGATCTGAGGGGTAGAGCCCAAAGGGGTAGGTATGGAGTGGGCGGGCTCAGAGTGCAGGCATTAGGTGAGGGCCCCCTGGGCAGTAGAGGGTCCTGCCGCAACCAGAGCCTCTCCCGCTGTCCTGCCCTGGGTCCAGGACACGCTGTGGAGCTGAGAAGCCCACAACTTTGGCCATGGTCTGCACTGGCCACCCGTGTGTCCTCACCAGGTCTGCAGTACCCTACCCTGACCCTCCCATCTGCTGCTGGGCCTGGGCGTGTTGGTGCTGGCAAAGCCCTCGCTGCAGGTGGGGTGTGCCCTCTGGGCCTTCCCTTTGTAGGCCAGGCTGGGGGCCCTGTTGGAGTGGCCACCAGAGGACTCGGCGTGGTGGTTGAAGGTCCCTCTTTCCACCCACCTCCCATGATGGCCCTGGGACTGAGCTTGCTGGACAAGAGCATCCAGTGTGGGAGGGAGGCCAGGGGATGGGGTCAGGGAATGGGCTGAGGTACCAGGGTGGGCTCCCCAGGAAGAGAACTTGCTGAAGGAGGGCGAGGGAGATGGTTGAGGGCCCAGAGCTCATTGGTCCAGGCCAGCAAGGCCCCTGCTCTGGGATGGCTGCAGGCACAGATGCCTGCTGGACATAAGCATGCCAGGCCCTGCTCTTGGCTCCCCTTCCCGGACAAGCTCTGTTCTTCCCCAGCCTCAGCTTCCCTGTCAGCATTGCACTGCTCCAGATGGAGACCTTAACAGCTCAGGAGCCGGAGGCACCTGGCCTGCCTGCTCCCCACCCCCACAGCCAGGAGAGCGGGCCCACACCTGGGCTAGGGCCAGGGTGCTGAGGGACATGTTAGGGAGAAGAGGAGGGCAGTGAGAAACAGACGATGGAATGAGGATGGCAGGGTGGGGTGGGCACTGGGCCGGCCTGGCCTTTAGAACTCCACACAGAAGCACCACAGGTCGGGGGAAGGGCCCACTGAGGCCCCAGCTGGCCGCAGGGGGTTCAGAGAGGCAGACGAGGGCTGGATACTCTGCTCCCTAGGCCCCAAACGTCAGAACAGGCCTCACGACAACCCCGCACCTCACCGCCATCCAGACACACACTGCACACCTTCACCAATAGATGGTGACTCATGCAGGGCTCACGCACCCATACCAGTGCAGCCCACCCCCCACCAGGCATGACCCTCTGGCCTGGGAGCCACTTTCCCTGGATGGCTTCTCTAGGCCCAGTTGGGGAGCCCTTGCTTTGACTGGGGCCTGAGGCCCCTTTTGTCCTGCTCAAAGCCAGACAGTCACAGGCCTTCTCAGGGAGGGCAGATGGCAAGCAACCCCACCACATGTCAGGCTCCAGGGCCACAGCCCTCACAGGGCGCTGCTGCAGGGGAATCCCAAGGGGCCAGGGCTCCAGGCAGGACCTTGGCCACTGCTCTCCCGGGGCCTGCTCTTGCTGTGGGGTCCCGGGGCCAGCTTGCCCTGTGCCCCGAGACTCGGCCTGGGTTCTGGACCTGCACGGCTTGTCAAGGGCCGGGAGCTGGCCACTGGCCATGTGAGTGGGCACAGGGTACCCTTCTCAGGGCCAGCCTGGCTCTTGCCAGAGGACATGACTGCAGCCCCCTCCTTGCCCCAGCGGTGGGGCGGGACACCTTACCTGCCAGCGTCAGAGGCTACTCTCGTAGCTGGTGGCCACCTTCTGGCCTTTAAGCCCAGCACCCCAGCTTAGTCCTGGCGCTGGCGGGGAGGGTTCTACAGTGGACAAGAGGTGCCTTTCAGTGTGGTGTGCTGGGCCCTACCTCCCTGGGTGTGCAGACTCGGGCTGGCCCGCTGTGCTGGGGAGGCCCTGCTCCCTGGGGGGCGGCGGAGGGGCCACGCCCACTCGATGGCCCACAGGGCGGCCGAACTGAGCGCCGCCTCACCTGACAAGTGCTGGGTGGAGGGCTGGTCGTGTGTGCTCAGTAGCTGTGTCTGAATGGTCTCCACGACCCTCTTGAAGCGGCGGCTTGGGCCTGGGGGAGACAGCGGGTTAAGCCTGGGCGAGGTGGCCGGAGCCCGTGCCCTGGACCCAGCAGCTCACCTGATAGAAGCGTGAATGTGACAGAGTAGATGCCGTTCTCCTTCTGGGCCGCCCCACCCTCGCTGTAGGTGATATCCACCTGGAACTTGACAGGCTTCTGGAACACTGCCGGGCCCCCTGTCGCCTTGTACTCGGCCCGAAAGCTGGTCTGGGAGATGACGCTGTGGCTGAGGCTGGGAATCTGCGGAGTGGCAGTTCGGTGTGAGCAGGGACCCAGCCCCCACCCTGAGCTCCTGAACTGGGACCCACAGGCCAGCCCCTCCAGCCTCATCTGTGAAATGGGTGCAGCCCGCCTCCACTCACCAGCAGGGCCCTCGGGATGTGGCCATGAGAGCCAAGAGCAGGACTGACCGAGACCCCGGGGCAGGGCTTTCTAAGGAGCGATGAGTAAACATGCAGGTGGGAGGGGGACCCTCAGAGCAGCAGTGAGGACAGGGGACCAAGGCTGAAGCCTCTATTGGCACTGAGAACAGCCACCTGAGGCCAGGGCCAGGGCCATCGCTGACAGCAGTGCCTGAGGCTCTGCACCAGGTCCACTCCGCTGTGTATTTGGGTTTTGGGCAACAAAGGAAACTGGTCACAATAAACTCAGCAGGCAATCTTGCCTCAGGGTCCCCCCCAAGAGAGGGTTCTGCCCCCAGGAATGGCCAGCACCCGAGGTCAGAAGGGCCAGCGATCCTGGGAAGTATTAGAGGGTGGTGGCTGAGTCCATGCCCCATGGGGAGGGACTCTTGGTGTTCCAGGAACAGTAGAAGGGGCCTGGAAATCATAGGGTTGGGTCAGGGGGGACAGAGGCCCAGACCTGGGCCCTAAGGAAGAGAGCATGGTACAGGGGAGTCAAAGGGAACAGTGTGCCTGTGTCCAGCGTGAGGCTGACCCCTGCCTGGCTCTGGGCTCTCCTGGCCCCTGAACCTCTGGGAGGAGCACCTGCTGTCCTCATAGCCCTAAGGGAACCTGGGCGGCAGTTGGTGATGGGGCGCTGAGACGGGGCTCAGAGAAACCCCCGGCAACCTCTGCCCACCTGGTGGTGGGGCTGGAGCTGCAGCAGCTAGACCCCCTCTGGTGATCCTGGGATTTCCCCTAAGCTATGATCCTGGGGCCCCCTGGCATGAATGTGGAAGAAAACCCTCAGGGTTTTCTGCTCCCTGTGCCTGGTGATTTGGCAAAGATAAGGGAACTCATAGAAGGCCCAGTGTAGTCCCCTCAGCACTACAGGCCTCGGTGGGACGCAGGGGTTGCAGGAGGCCGGCAGCATGTGGGGCATGCAGAGGGCACTCAGGAAACAGGCCCCTGGGGACTGTTCCCGAGGCCTTGGCACATCCCCCGGATGCGGCAGAGGTCCCTCTATTGAGGCTGCCTGCGCATTAGCCCTCAGGGCGTATCCCTGTCCCCAGTGCCACCCTCCATCACAGCCCAGCCTGGGACCTGTTCACAGCATGGCTTGCGTTGTCAACGCCTCAACCCGCCAGCCACATGTGCCCCTGCCTGGCTCACACCTGCTCCTCCAGGGTCCCCTTCCCCTCACCCCGGGGCAGGCGGAGACAGTGAATGGACCCTCTGGGGCGGGACAAGGCTCACCGACAGGAAGGCATGAACGATGTCGGCTTTGATGGAGCTCAGGGGCTTGTCCTTGATGACCAGGAAGATCTGCTCCTCCTTCTCGAGGCTGATGAAGTTCCCGAACCAGGACTTCTTGGCCAGCCTGCGGGGTGGAGTGAAGGGCTGCTCACACCTCGGGGACAGGCCTGCCCTGCCCCTGACCCCACCATCCTGACCTCCCGACTGCCTCCTGAGCTCTGACTCGCCCTGCTCTGGACCCTGAGCCCCAGCCCACCCTGATATTACCATCCTAACCTCGACCTGCCTCGTCCTTGTCTCCACTCACACCCTGATCTCTCCACCCATGCCTGACTCGATAACCCTACTGCTAATCCCACTGGAGTGGGCCTAACACTCCATCCTCCCCCCTTGTCTGGGCCCAGCAGCACCCACTGGAACCCAACCAGAAGGGTGTGGCACCATGACCCTGGGGTGATTTGCTGTGCAGCAGTCCCACAGCCTCCTTGAGGAAAGTGGCCCCCCACCCGGGGGGGCTGTGAGGGGAGCCTGCGGGAACTGGGGTGGGCTTGGGGCAGGCCAGGCACTCTTGCTTGGCTATAAATGGCTGAAACATGGCACAGAGGAGCAACCTCAGCTTCCCAGGCCACCCTTCTTGTCTCCGCCCTCAGGGGCTGGTGGCCCTAGCTGCGTGCCTCCCTGCTGCCCCAGCCCAGGCCACTCCATGGGACTGGGCTGCTGGGCAGGGCGGGGATGCCGCCCACAGAGCCCCAGGCTGGCGGCACCTTCTCACATGAGTCCTTACCCCATTGCGCTCAGGGCCACCCTCCCTCCTTGGTTGTCACTGCTGACCTGGTCACTGTGTCCTGGTCTGGAGCTGCCCCTGAGGTGGAGCCCTCCCCGTGACAGTGTGGGATAGATGCCCACCACCTTGCCTCCTAAATTCACGTCTGTGTGGCCCTTCCTATGGTGTGGGTGGGCCAGTGACCAGCTTCTGACAGGAGAATGTGGAAAAGTGGAAGTCATCTCCAAGATTGGGCCACAAAATCTGACTCCCCTCTCACCGTTTTGTTGAAATGGACCAACTGGTGAGAGGCCCACAGGGACCTGAATCCGGCCCACAGCAGCTCCTGCTCCTGTGCAGCCATGAAGGCCACAGCCTGTCATCCCTAAAGTCAAGCACTCAGCTGGACGTGGCTGGTCCTGACCACTGAGAGGACAAGCATGCACCGTTTTACGGTGCAGTGTGTTTGATTCGTTTGTCAGGCAGCCATTGATGACTGGCAAACCCTGGCCAATTTCTTGCTGCCTCCCTTGCAGCTATAGTGTAGACACATGACCACTCTACCTGTCCAGTGATGAGAAGCAGCAGCTAGGCCCAGTGTCTTCCCCATGGCATTAGTAGGGCACTCCAAGGTACTCTACACTGGCCTGGGCATGGCCAACAGTTTTCCTGGTTGTGTGACATCTTCCCTTTTCCTGCCCATTTCCAGAGCCACTCTTTAGCTGCTGTGACAATGACCAACCCACCTGCCAACAGGGTCCCTGTCCTCCCTTGTCAGCCCGGCGCAGGAATCCCAACAGAAGATGTGAAGAGAGGACATTGAGGACCCCACACCCTCATTCAGCCACCTCAGCTCCCTGGCTGTCTGCCATGTTGAGCAAGTGCAGGCTGCTGGCCTGAGCTGTACAATGCTGCACCCAGGGCTACGCCGGGCTTGGAGCCCACAGCTGGGGCGCGTGCCTTCTGCAGACAAGTTACAGTGAAAACTGGCTTTTTGTACTTTGACACCAGGGGTTTGAACAGTCCCAGATCTGAAAGAAGCCTGGCTGAGCAGGAAGGCTAATAGAGGGTGTGTGGGAACAGGCCTGTGACGGTAGCTCAAGGTGTCAACTAGGCCTGTTTGGTCCAACATTGGGTGTTGCTTCTTGAAAGACATCTTGTCGACGTGGTAGTTGTTACCAGTGAGGTCCTGCAGGCCAGCCTGCGACATCACCCAAGCTCTATTTCCCACCTGCTGACCCGTCTCAGGCCCGCTAGCATTCATGTGCACACCCACCCGCACCCTCCTGGTTTCGGTTTCCTCGGGGACCCTGACTGATGCAGGGCTCCTAGAAGCTGCAGGTGGAATGTCCTGGGACCAGGAGCAGGCCTTGTGCAGGAGGCGCTGGGGAGCTCACTGCATCCCGCTTCCAGGGACACCTGCACCTGCTCATTCCCACCAGGCTCTTGGGCAGGGACAGGCCCCATGGGCCTCAATGGAATGGAGGGGCACAGGCCCTCGGCCGCAGCACGTGACTGTGTGATTTTGTAAATCCCCTGAAAGTCCTACAGTTACACTGCAGGCGAGTTTGGGAAGGCTTTTCAGGGCAGCAGAGATTGGCAACTGAAGGGATGCAACCAGTGGGACTGCAGAATCCCCCTAACCCAGCAGCTCTGGGCTCGCACCTGCACCCACATGCACAACACCATGACAACTTCTCTCTCTCTCTCAGACAGCTGGCCCCACTGCCTTCACTGCCAGCGCAGCCCCCACACCCTGCCCTGTGTCTACACCACATTTCCTGTTCACACCACCACCCGGGGATGAGGGAGCCGAGGCCTCAGGGAGGGCGGGCACTTGTGCAGGTCTCTCCAGGACCTTGGCTGGAGACCCTGAGTGGGGGGCATTTCCGTATGCAGATCTGCGGGGTGGGGGGCAGTCGCCCTGTTTCCCCATCGCTCCCACAGCCCCTGCATCTTCCTCTCATGTGATGATGATCTGAGGGTCACTCTGCACCTGGCCTTGGCCAAGGCCACCCCATACACGTGTTCCTGCAGGCCATCGCTGGCTATCCTCCTCGGCCTGTACCGTGATCTCACCTTGAGATCCTCCATCCTTACAACCAGACACGTCTGGCCACCTTCTGGACTCTGCTCTGCCCAGCACCCTTTCCTGGTGGAACCCCCTGTAGGAGGCACCTCAGACCAGTCCTGGAGGCCTCCCCATGCTCAGCACATCCAGGGCAGACGCTGTGTCTGAAGTGTGAGCAAGCCGGGCCTCTGTGGCTCCCTCGTGCGGAGGCCAGGGCTCAGCAAGTAGCAGCAGTCCCTCCGAGGAGTGGCTATGCCGTACTGCCTCCAGCCAACATAGGCCCTTCTCCCAGGCTGTGGCTCAGAGAACTGAACTGTTCCCTAAGGGCTCCCCCACCATCCTAGGCCCTGCTCCCCGCCTGGTGTTCAAAGTGCAGGAGGCTCCGAGATGTGCACGCTGGAGAGGAGGTAGCTGAGGCAGGAAGTGGAGGAGAGGACCAGTGGGCAGGGGCCACAGGGAGAAAGGGAGAAGGACCTGTGGGCTGGGATGCTCAGCCGGAAGCCCTTGTGGATTCTGTGGCCTGTTATGTGGGAGGGTATCCTGCGGCCCCCTCGTGCTCTTGGCATCCTAGCACCAGCCAGGAGGTTGACAGATCCCACCTGCTCTGACGGCCACTTACTCTGGGGAGGACTCCGGGGTCAGGTTGGACATCTCCTCTGGCGTTGGGACTGTGCACAGGAAGGACAGAGAGAGAAGGTGTGGTGACCACTTTGCCCTCCCCACAGGTCCTGCACCGTGGGGGGGGTCCTATGGAGCACCCACATACTGTCTACGGGCGCCTTCCTGGTCGGGGCCTTGGGCCATTGGGAGCTGACCTGACCCCTGGTGCTGAAACCAGGCTAGGCCTGCTCTGGCCTTCAGCCAGTCCTGCTGTCCCTCCAGGTGTTGGGTGTGCTGGCTGGGCTCTCCTTGGGTGTGTGCCTGGCATCCCCTTGGGGGTGAGGAGGGGATTGCCCCTTGGCACTGGGCCCCATGCCTCACCCCTTGGCTGTGCAGTGGGGCTGGTGAGCCCAGATAGCCAGCCACTGTCAACTGACCCTCAGCACCCAGCACACAGGGGTAGGCTTCCCTGCATTATCCTGTGGGCTTCGTGACCATGTCCACACCCACCCAGTGGCCATCTCTCCTCCCTGGGCCTCAGGCAGCCTGTACTGAGGAGGCCACTGGGCTGAGGAGAAGCAAGGGTTCCAGGAGGGCTTCCAAGGCTGTGCCCACTGGGTGCCAGGACTGCACTGTGTGGGCCCAGGCACAGGTTGAGCAGGCTGGTAAATAGTGGAAATCTGTGATGCTGCCTACGCCTGTGCCAGTCTAGCAGACCTGGGAATGATCCAGTGCTTTTGGTAGGGTGACCCCTGCCTGGCTCCACTCGCCCCCCTAGCCGGCATGAGCAGTGCTCCACTTGCCCCGCTCATCGCCTGTGCCCTGCCGTCACGGAGCTCACCCTGCAGTTTCCGGCGGTGGAAGCGAGGTGACCCCAGGAAGCTGTTCTTGATGGAGTTGAGCCTTGTCCTCCAGGGCACCCCTCCAACGCTGGGGCTGGATGGCGGTGTGGGGTTGGGTGTGCCAGCTGGGCTTTCCTTGGGCGTGTGCACTGGCGTCCCCTTGGGGGTAGGGAGGGGACTGCCCCTTGGAGAGGGGTGAGGGGTCACCTGTATGGTGGGGACAGATTTAGTGTTTGGTTCAGTCCCAGTGAGCAGAAGCCGTGTGGGGGCAGGCAGAGGGGCCAGCCCCAGGGGCGGGGCCAGTTGGGGGCCAAGGCCGCCAGGGACAGGGTGCCGGGCCTGGGTGCTGGCTGGGAGTGGGTTGGACTTGGTGCCCTGCAGAGGCTTGTCGGTCAGCTTGGCCTTGCTTGGCAAGGTTTGGGTCTTGGGGTTGGGCCGCGGGGCGGCCTGTGGAGGGAGGACGTGTCCAGGCCGAGAGGCGCTCTGACAAACTTCGGGCTCCATGGAGGTGGCCAGGGTGCAGGCCACGAAGGGAAGTTCAGGGGGAGGGGGAGGCAGCACAAACTTCCTAACAGGCTACAGGGCAGGCACCGAGGGCAGGGAGTGGAGTGCGGGTCCGCCATGCAGGAGTCAGCCATGCATCCGTACCCCCCACCCACATGCACACAGAACCCCAGGAAGACCCACGGGTGCAGGCATGTGGGGGCAGAGCATTTGCCATGAAAGAAAACAAGTAACACACAAGAAAACACACAAAACAAAACAAAAAACGTGCAGTTAGCGAGAGCAGCCAGAGCCGCAGAGCAGCAGCACCACGCGTGGCCCCCAGCAGGTGGGAATGGCGAGGGCCTCTTCCAGGGCCGCCCGGCCCCTCCCGAGCACCTTCGGTTTGGGAGCCTGAGTGGAGGGGGCGTCACTCACCCGGGGACTGCTGAGTGGGCTGGTGGAGAGGCCTGAGGAAGCGCCGCTGATGGATCGGGACCTGGGGACACAGGTGCAGAGCGGGGCTCAGCTGAGACTGGCCACAGGCGCACAGCTTCTCTTCCCACAGGAGGCCTGGGTGCCCAGGACGGTCCTGTCCCCACCCCGCCTGTCCTCATCAGGAGAGACCCTGCAGCCTCTTTGGGACCCCATCGGAGCCCCCATGGTGCAGCCTTGGAGCCCTCTGCCAGTGTCTGCAGGGTCTCAGGTGGGCAAAGGGATGAGGAAGGTTGCAGATTCCTGGAAACTGAACCCAGCCTGTGCCAGGCCCCTCTCCACACTCCAGCTGCTGTGCTGGCCCAGGGCCACCAGCTGGGCATTAGCCAGCCCGTTGGCACCCACAGCCCACCTGCCCGGGCCAGAGCTGCCCACAGCAGGCCATCCCTTGGCCCCCTCCTCACTTGCATGACCAGGGCCTGGGCAAGACGAGGCGGGGGTGGACACTGATCTTTTTCCACCACAGGCTGCACTGGGCCTGCAGGCCTGGCCTGGGCATAGCTGGACCCAGGGCGCCCAGCTGAGACAGGCACACAGCTGTGCCCCCTTGGGGCAGACACGGCCTGCAGGGACTTACCACACCTGCGGCCCTTAGGGAAAGGAATGGGACTGGGGGCTGATGCAGCCCTAGGAAAGGACAGGGGGAATGGTGGACTGCCCTGCCACCTGCCCACCCCGGCCAGCATGGCCTGGAGAGAGGTCTCGCCTGCCACACCTTGGCCTGGCCCCTGGGCCTGGGGGAGGAATGGAGCCCATGCTGGCCAGACCTTGGCTCCTGCCCACTCCACCAGCACCTGTGAGCTGGGGCCCCATGGCCATGACCGTCGTACTCTCCCACCTGACCCAGTCCCACTGTCACTTAGCACCGACCCTGCTCCAGACGCCCAGCCCAAAGCTTTCCGATGCTGAGTCCCAGTTGGTGCCCCCCAACAGCCACAGTGAGGCCCAGTGCCGAGCCAGTGCAAGCTTGTGGCTTGGCACAGGAAGCAGAGAGCAGCAAGGGGAGCAAGGGGTGGGAGCCGTCCACACGCCCTCCTGCCCAGCAGGCAGCTTCTGGAGACTGAGCCATGGCTGCCTAGACAGGACAACACCTGCACCCCAGAGGCAGGGGTGGTGAGACTGTGGGGGACCACGGGGCAGGCCCAACCATGTCACCCTCAGGCAGTGGGCCCTGCAGGTGCAGGGCAGGGGGCTCACAAAGGCCAGGTGTGACCAGCACACCTCCTGCCATCAACTTGGGAGGCTGCAATGGGCTCGGGATGGCTGAGCCGCCTCTGGCTGCCACTTCCACTCAGGCCCTAGTGGGCAGCATGGTGGCCCCAGGACCCAGGGGACAGTGCTGGCCAAGGGGAGGTTAACCAGAACCACCACCAGCCACATCAAGGTGGGCCAGATGGGGCCTCGTACCTGCAGCCCCTCAGGGGCCCAGGGCAGGGAGAGCACAGTGGGTCTCCCAGCCCCTCTTGGGCTGGCCGTTGGCCTCACCCAGTAGCCCACTCCTCCTGGGCCTCAGCCTGGCCTGAACCAGCCTTTCCCCCGGCTTCTGGAAGGTTCCCTTGCCAAAGGGGAGCAGGCCAGAGCCTCAGGCCCAGCCCTGCCACCAGGCCCGAGTCGCCTGGGGGGCTGGGGGCGGGGCGGGTGGGCAGGGTGTATACCTGTCTTCTTTGCTGAATTGGGGGTGGGCTTCAGCGATATCCAGGCTTTTACTGAACATTGCTTTACTACAGCGGGAACAAAGCGAGAAAACAGAGTTACTGCCACAGCGCCGCCAGACGGCCTGGAGGCCAGACCACACAGCTCCTAGCTGTGCGCAGGGCACACAGATGCCAGGGGACATGAGCAGGAGAGCTCCAGGGGCACAGCACCCCCGGTGACCTGCAGGGTACTCAGCATCAGCCCCAGCAGGAGGCCCACTGTCACTCAGCACCTACGGCCAGAGGAGGAGGCAGAGGCCAGGAGCTGGGAGGAAGGGGCTCTCAGGTGACCATCAGCCTGGGTCACACCAACCCACCCTAGCACCCAGCAGCCCCTGGCAGCCAGGCCTGGGAAGCAGAGTAGAAGCCGTGGCAGGGTGGCCTCCCACCCCCAGCCCCTACCCGAGGCCCAGGCAGGTGGGGTGGGAGGGGGTGGGGAGGCTGGTGCAGGGAGGGCCAGGTCAGCACTCAGCCGGCCCCGCCGGTTTCCAGCCAGAAGCCAAGGGCCAGGCTTGGGGAGCTGGGCTGAGCAGAGGTATGCCCACAACAAGCAGGGCAGGTGTGGCACTGGGCAGGAGTGTGGCCAGCAGGAAACCTTCCCCCTGCTCCTCCCCTTGCCCCACCCGGTGCCAGAGCCACAGCTGTCTGGAGACCTGGATAGAGGCTGAGCCAGCTGGTTCCCTGGGAGGACCCAGGACCACTAGAGGGCTGTGGGCCATCAGCCCAATTTAATCTTGATGGTGGCCTGGCTGCCCTGTGGTTCCCGTTTGATGGTAAATTCCTTCGGAGGCTTGGCCAGCTCCAGCACCCAGCTGACCAGAGAGAGCTGGGGCTCCTTGGTCCACCCATGGTGCTCCCCAGGGGGTGGGGCAGACAGCTGAAGCCCCCATCTGGGCAAGAACGTTCAACCTCAACCTAACAGCGCCAGGTGAGGAGTGGCCAAGGGCCTCACAGCTGTGACTGTGGGCCTGGATGTCTGTTTCCTCCAGCGGGGTCCGTTGGGACAGCCTAGCTCTGCTCATCGTCCCCCAAAATTCCATTTTCATGCCCCTTGCACAGCCATAGGGGACCAGCGGTTAAGTGGGGACAAGCCTGCTAGGCTGCTGGCTCTGAGCATAACTGGACCACGATCCAGTCTATTCCACCTCAGGTCAGCCCAATCCAACTCAGCCCAACCCAGTCAAGCCCAGCCCAGCTCAGCCCAGTCCAGTCCAGTCCAGGGTGGCCTACCAGCCCAGGCCAACAAAGCAAAGCCCTGCCCAGCTCAGCCTGTGCAGCCCAGTGCAGCCGGCCCAGCCCCAGGGCCGGGGGCAGAGAGGAGTTAGGCCCAGCACAGCTCAGGAGGGGTGCCTTCACTGATCAGGCCAGGGCACAAGCAAGTAGGGCACTGGGTCCCCCCAGGAGGCACGTACCTCTGGCTGTGCTGGGCCATCTCGATGGCCCGCCGAGCAGGCACCGGAGAGCCGCCGTCTGTCACACTGAGTACCTCCATGGACTTGCGTTCAGGCCGCCGCTT